CACAGTTCTTACATGATCTTAGGGACTGTGTGTGATCTAGAGATGATTTAAAGTAACAGGAGGATGTGCAGAGGTCACGTACAAACAGTATGCCATTTCATATGGGGGACTTCAGTATCCATGGATTTTGGTATGTGAAGAGGCTCTGGAATGAGTCCTCATGGACACCGAGAGACAAATGTAAGTTGACTGTGTATACAGGGCCTCTTCTAAATTCCGGACTGCTTTCCACTAATCTTTTTCCCTCTGTGCTACTGTTTCCATTACCATAGCTTCACTGTAAGCCTTGATATTTGAGAAACTGAGTCATTGACATTGTTCTTCTTCCAGATTGCCTTGACTAGTGTGGAACTTTGACTTCCCATCCAAATTTTCCGAGTCAATTTCTTGATGTCCACAAAGTCCCCGATGAACTATTAATAGGGATGACATTATACCTACAAATCAAGCTGGGGAGAAAAGGGTTTTAAAAATACTGAACCCTTCACACTATAAACATGATGTATCTCTCTATTTCTCTTGAATGTTTGTCCCATTCTTTGTTATTGTTTCCTGTGTTAAAGGTTTTATATAATTAATTAGATTTATTTATGAGTGTGAATTCATTTATTTATTTGTTCCTTTACTTCGAGTTTCTAATTCATGGTTGTTTCTTTCACTTTCAGGTATTCATGAACTATGAAAGAGGTATTTGATCTTAACCCTTGGTCAAGCCAGTAATAATGGAAGTAATTTTTTAAGCAGTTCCCTCCCTGCACAAGCATTTATCAAAATTTATGTACAATAGTCTACATCCATCCTCTCTTCTGTTCTCATTTGTTTCCCTATGCTAGCTAATCTACAACTACTCCTCAGTTTAGATTTTTACTGCAGTATCCATGGATTTAAAGGAATACCCACACCCATCCAACCTTACTATTTTAGGGTAAGTCATTATAGGATGTGGCTCTCATTTTCTTATCAAACCTTTGTACCTCCCTAGTATTTAAAATCAAATGGCCATGTTGTATATTTTCTCTTTCTCTTCCTCCATATCAAACCTCCACTTTGACACATTGTAAACATAATCTCTGCTTTTACTGTTGCATTTTTATGAACTCCCTTTTTCCTCCCTCTTGGTTATCTCTTCTAGGATCCACCCCTCAAAAAATGCACAGATACAAATTTGGTTCGGATGAGTAGGGGTGTATCCTAGTGCTAGAGCGTGGATTTAGCATGAATCCAACCATGACTTCAAGCCCCAGCACCAAAACCAAGTTGTTTTTAAGTAACATTTTATGAGCCCTCAACCAAATATTAGCTAGTGCTTTTGTTGAAATCATGTTGTATCGGGGAGCGCATTTCTCAGCGCACTCTGTAGACTATTAATTTAAGAGAATGTTTCCCATCAGGTTTCCTCCAACATTGTTTAGTCCTTCTTTGTAAACCACATAATATTCAGCACAGACTTTGGTTCACGTTTGATACTTTAAAAATACATGTTGACCTAAAGCTAATCATAATCAATGCAAATATAAATCTATAATGTAATCTTTTCTATTCATGTTTTGTCACCCATGGGATCCTGAGAAAACCTTTTGGAGTGCTGAACTGAAAAATAGGTCAAGCTCCACTCCACTCTGCTGAGAGTATCATTAAAGAACTCTGAAACTTCAGTTTTTTTCAAAAAGCATATAATTCATGTACATTCTAAAACAACGCTTTGTTTCCACAAGTCAACATTCTTAATGTGACCTGTCCAAGTGCATTCTCAACACACTGATTTGATGAAGACACCAGCCCACCCAGTTTCTTTTAAGGTGAAGAGAAAAAAGAAAGGAAGAACAAATTTCAAAAAATACTTTTTCAACAGGAGAAAATAAAGAGAACAGGTCTAGACTTTGCTGCCTATTTTTACATCTAACCTTGCAAAAGATTTGGCTTAACACTCTCGTGAACCAGAACTCTGTATCAAAATTTGCAATTCAAAATCCCTGTTTTGGTTTCATGGCAGACAATGAGTGCCAGTTTTGACTTCAGCCCACACAGTCACAGGAACAGGTCACTCACGTGCACTGACTTGACATAATTTTTAATGCGCAGCTAGGAAAGCAGTCTTCAGCTTGACCTACCTGAGCTCTAGCACTGCAAGGTACAGCACCACTCTCTGCTTTCTAGAAATCACCTAAGCAAGGCCTTAACTGCACAGCTTCAAGGACTGGGCCTCCTCAGTTTTGAAATGGCTGTTCTCTAGGTAGGAATCAGTATAGCTAGTACAACGTCATAAAATCTCCTGCGTATATGTTCCTTGAATATTTTAAAAAATGTTTGTTAGTACATGTTTGCAGTCCATGCAGTTTATGACCATCTTATTGCATCAGGCAGGTGGTCTTTGACCAGACACCAGTCCTCGATGATCCCCTGTTCCACCCACCCCTCTCATCTCTAGGCCCCTCACCTTCACTCCAGTGATGAAGGAAGTGAAGTGAGGCTGGCTCAGAGCCAGAGGCCCCTAGCAGAGAACAAGGAACTCAGGTCCCGCACAGAACGGGTTAGTCAGCCGTGAAAGTAATGCCAGGCCAAAATTTATTTATAAGGTCAAACATGCATGGAACAGCTGGCAAGCAAGGGGGCACTAGAAGGCAGGGAGAACCCAACCCAATTTCCCGAGGTAGGATGCGGAATCTGCTCATACTTATGTAGGGATAAACTGGTTCCTAAAAATAACCACTGCAATGATTGGTGTGGCCTAGGCCAGTCGGGGCCTTCGCCTTTGTTTCCGGGCTGAGGAAAGGTCAGGCGGCTGACGGACTCCTAGTGAGTGTGCGTAATAATTTCAAAGGAGCTAGCTTCCTCGGGTACATAGCACACCCTAAAGTGGTGGTAAATACTCAGCTATCAGCCCCTCGGGTCCTGACCTACATCTTCCCTCTTGACTTCTCCCTGTCTCTACAATCTTGAGTGATGGGTACATGTACATAACGTAGTTTGGCTCTTTGGTTGTTGTTGTTGTTGTTGTTAATTCCCTTCCTTCCCAATTCCTTCCCTCCTCCTCTAAATCCCCTTTCCCCATTTAGGTTTTCGTGGATATTATAAGTCTTACCTCATGCTTATGACATGGAATGGTTACATTCACTGAGCTTATCGGGTTTCTGGGCATCGCATAGCTTTATTCTACTTATTTCCCTTTCCTCTCCCCTCTCTTTTCATCCATAATCTCTTGGACCCCTTCCCATTTGCAAGACGTCCATCACTTTGTCTCCTTTTATCTATCCTTTATTGTGCTTTATGATTTCACTTTGTCTCACTCAAATGAGAGATACTATACAGTATTTAAGCTTGTGTGTCCGAGTTATTTCACTCAACATTGTATTTTCCAGCTGCATCCATTTTCCTAGAAATGTCTCAAATTTGTCCTTTTTTATAGCTGAGTAATATGTCATTATGTATAGGTACCACATTTGCTTTATCTAGTTGTCTGTTGATGGCTATGCAGGCTGCTTACAGGATTTAGCTATTATCAATTGCTATAAACATTGGTATGCATGTATTTCTGTAGTATGATGTCTTTATCTCTTTGGGAAAGATACCTAGAAGGAAGATACTGGGCCATATGGAACTTCTAATTTTAGTTCTTTGAGGAATTTCCATAATGACTGTACTAGTTTACATTCCCAACAATAATGTAGGGGAGTTTCTTTTTCACTGCAGCTAGGCCAGCATTTATTATTTTTAGATTTCTTAATGGTTGCCATTTTTTCTGGTGCAAGAGGGAATCTTAGTGTTCTTTTAATTTGCATTTTTCTAATGGCCAGGTCTATTGAACATTTTTCATATATTTGTTGGTCATTTGCATTTCTTCCTCTGAGAAGTTTCTGTTCATTTCATTTGCCCATTTTTTGATTGGGTCTTTTATTTTAGGGGATCTGATTTTTTGAGTTCTTCATATATTCTAGGTAGTAACCTCTTGTCTGAGGAACAGCTGGCAATTTTCCCCATTCTGTAGGTTGTCTCTTGCCTCAACTAGTTGATTCCTTGCTGTGCAGAAACTTTTTAGTTTGATGTGATCCCATTTGTTAGTTCTTACTGTTATTTCTCAGGAAAATATATTTCTGTTTAGTAAGTCCTTTTCTAAGTCTATGACCTCAAGTGTTTTACCTATTTTCTCTTGCAGTAGGTTCGATGTTTCTGTTTTAATGTTTAAATCTGTGATTCTAAAATCAGCAACAAGACAAAGATGCTCATTATCACCATTTCTATTCAACATAGTACTCAAAACATTAGCAAGAGCAATAAGGCAAGAGAAAGAAATGAAAGAAATACATATAGGAAAGGAAGAATTCCGATTATCATTATTTGCAGGTGACATGATACTTTACATAGAAGACTCAAAGAAGTTGACCAAAAGAATTCATAACCAACTTCAGCAATGTAGCAGGGTACAAAATAAACAAGGAAAAAATCAATAGCATTTGTGTACACTAATAATGAACTCAATGAAAAGAAATTATGAGGACAATACAATTCATGGCAGCATCAAAAAGTGAAATACCTTACTTACACTTTCAGTTTCTCACACCAAAGAACCTATTCAGTATTTACACATGTGTGTCCTATTTATTTCACTTAAGAGTCTGCCCTCAATGTGCACCCATATAGCTATAAATGTCTCTGGTTTCTCATTCTTTTTTAAAAATTTTATTGGTACAATTTAGGTATACAATATAATGACATTCATCATTGGAAATTTGCACCTTTACATAATCTCTCTTGGTTCTTATTTTTAGTTTCTCATTCTTTATGGCTGAGTAGTACTCCATTTTAAATGATGATAGATAATGTGAAATAGGAAGAAAAGGTCCAAAGGGGAAGGGGAATTGGGAGGGGTAGGGGAAAGGAAAGCAGAAGGAATAAATATGAGAAAAGGAAAAAATGGAAACAAAGTCTTTGTAAATAGGGAGGGGTGGAGGAGCTGAACAGAGGGAAGGGGAATGGGGAAAAAATAAGAACCAAGACACATCTTGTAAAAGTACAAGGTCCCAATGATGAATGTAACAGTATTGTATACCTAAAATGTACCAATAAAATTAATGAATAAAAAAAGAAATACCTAGGCATTAATTTAATCAAGGAAGTGAAAGACCTGTATAAAGAAAATTGTAGTGCTCTGGAAAAAGGACATTGAAGAGGACATCAGGTAATGGAAAGATGTTCCCTGCTCCTGGGTAGGCAGAACAGATTTTGTCAAAATGGCCATACTCCCAAAACTGTTCTGCAGATTCAATGCAGTCCCAATTAAAACGCCAGCAGCATACTTTACAGATCCAAAGAAAACAATCCTAAAATTCATATGAAAGCAGAAGAGACCCAGAAGTGCAAAAGCAATCTTAGGCAACAAGAGCAAAGCAGGAGGCATCACCATTCCTGTCCTCCACTTTACTACAAAGCAACGGTAATAACAACAGCGTCAAACTGGAGCCATTACCAACACGCGGCTCAATGGAACAAAGTAGAGGATTCCGAAACATCCCCAGACAAATTCAGCCATTCATTCGATCTTGGACAAAGGGACCAAAAGCATACTTTGGAGGAAAGAGAGCTTATTCAGCAAATGGTTCTGGGAAAACTGGATAACTGCAGAAGATTGAAACTGTACTCAAATCCCTCCCCTACTGGGGGTGACGTTATTTTTTATGAAAGTGTTGGAGCAAGAGTAGCAGAGGCATCCACTTCCTGCCTCGTCTTAATGGGACATCTTGGTGAATTGAGACTTAACCTAAACCATGTTGATTCAAGCAGAAAACAGACACATTATCTTATTATGTCTTTTATATGTGCGTGTGCAAATGTTCACCCTCACGTCCACAAACGTTTCTCATTTAGAGAAAATCACACTCGCCTGGCTTTGTTACTTAGCCAAGCACAGAAAGGCCATCACCTGATTCAATGAGTTCCAGACTCTGTACAAGTCTGACAAGGCTCACAGGGACAGGCTCCAGTTTGGATATCTCCCTAATGGGGAAGTCGTAACTGTTGCTTCCTTGGGCACTACTATGGAGGTATGGCTATAAAAACTACATAACTCTTCACCCACAGAATATCAAATAAATAATAGAGGAAAAGAACCCTTGCATATATGAATATTGGATTTGCTGTACATATGCTGTTTTTCACTCAGATTTTCTCCACCATGCACTTTGATGTCAATGTCAATTAGATAATCTTTTTCCTCCAAGTATCACCAGGGTAAAAAATAAAAAAGTAAACAAAATGTCCTTGTAGTAAATCAACTGTCAGAATACCCTTGGCCTGAAAGATATTGCTTGGGGTCTTTTTCAGAAGCTTGGAAAATGGCTATATATGGAAGTCCCTGATTCGCTCTGTTGATAGAAAATGTAGCAGGGAATGAGTAATGGCCTGTGACACAAACTGTGGAGGGACTCACAGGACAAGGTCTACAGAGCTGGAGGTCTACATCTGGAGACAACCGCACAGACACATTTCCCAGACAAGGTGATACTTTGCAACTTCTTTTCTTTTTTATTTATTTTTATTTTTCTTCCATTGACTTTTCGTCCTTTTTACGAATACTATTTTACACTGGCAAGTCATAATCGGGTATATTTGTCAGAGATGATAGGATGTTTCAGGGTATACACAGACCCATGATATGGAATATAATTAAACCAAGCTCATTAATATATCCATCACTTTGTTGACTTATTTTTGGTGGTGATACATTCAAACTTAAGTGTTGTATTTTGAAATACACAATACATGATTATTACTACTGCCACCCTGCTGTGGATCAGATCTAAAAACGTATTTGCCTGTCTGTATGAAGATTTATACTCTTGGACCAAGTACTCTGCATTTCCTTCTTTGGTAACCAACATTCTAATCTCTACATCTGTGTTCACCCCTGAACTTTCTTTAATGTCTGAAGAAAGCCACACACCTCAGGTTGTGAGTTAAAGCCTTTCCAATTCATGAGGGGAAGAAGTGTATAAACATAACTTAACTTTCAACTCTGAGAAAGATATCCCCTTTCATCTTCAGTGACTCTCCCTCATGAACTGCATCTCCCACCAACCTGGTTGACCTACTAAGCAGCCTTTCTGGATGCTAAGTCAAGACCATCCCTTTCTACTCACTGGCCATGTCCCTTCCTGGTGAACCTTATCCAAATACCAACAGTGACAAAACTGGAAGAGTTATTAGCATTGGTGCTTACCCTTTAAAAAGCCCTGCCCAATAGGCAACAGGGGAATCATTTTTTCTAAGACGAGGGGGATTTCCATTCCCATATGACTTTGGGAGGTGCTGATCCAGGCTCAGAAACTGGGAATCAGAGGAGGAACTCTGAATCAGGCATGCTGAGGAGTGCCCTTGCCTCTTGTCTTTATGGAATTAAATTCTAGAGATGGGGATCAGTATTTGGAAAACATTCATGGTGGTGCCTCCAACATGTTCTTGACAATGTACAGACATCAAGTGGTGAGTTTGAAAAGAATGAGTGTCAGCTATACCAATTCTTTCACCTTTTGAATGAATTTAATCTTCAGGAGAATGGGCAGCTCTGGCCCAGGACCCCAAATCCCATAGCGATTAGACTGAAATCCATCTGTTTTTGTGTCATTTCCCAGTTTGTTATTTCAAGCTTAGCTGGTGAACACAGGGTCTATTCTTCCTACTTTGATGTGAACTCCTAAAGGCAAAGGTGATGGTTTATTCTTTATGGTCCACAATGCCTAATACAGCAAGATTTTGCCGCAGATTTTCATATATAGATATAGAGTCATTTTGATTTCTTCATTTAGATTTTATAGTTTGCTTATGACATGCCCCTTATTCAAGGAAAGGAAGAAAATTTCACTCTGCTGGTGTATTAATTTTCACAAATATTATCTCAGTCCATGAATATGTCGCTTCCTGTTACTAATTTCCAAAGATAAGCAAATGATGCTCAGGCAGAATTTCCCTTAGAATTGAGCTACAGCCATGATAGTTATTTGACATCTCGATTCCTGGCAACACTTTAGGTTACCTAGTGTTGTATACAGTACTCAGAGCTTTGTCAGCAATCTTTTCACAGGTCATGAGGCAAACCAGAAATGGTGTGGTTGTAGTTAATGGAGGCATCTGTGAACAGCCTCGGATGCCAGAGACCTCTAGGGTGTGGGTTACCTCTATAGCTTATTTGACATCGTGGTCAAGTGCACCTAATATTTATTTTCTTCAAGCACTGCTCTCCCACATGCTTCACATACTTACATATAATTAGTATTTGCCAGTTCAAGTTCCTGGGATTCCTGTAGAAACCAAAGTGTGAAAAGAATGGTTTGAATACAGTGAGTTTGAAGGACTTGGCACATTTGCGATCCACGAACACTTCAAAAGCATAGCTAATAATAGTACATATCTATGGTGATTTGAAAGCTTCTGAGTTTACTTTTTACATCTTTTTTTACTGGGGATTATGTTTAAGTAACATGACTCAAATAAATTCAAGAGGGCCTTAGATCCTTAAAATTAAAGAGCTTGAGAAAGATTAACTTTAATATTTCTCCCAGTTTATAGATTCATGACTTATTTGTGAACAGTGAAAATAACTCTTATCTGCTTTGGAATATAAAACACTCATTCTTATCAGACAATACACTCTCATTCTAAATTTCATGACTTCAGAAAATAAGCTGAATTTTTCTCCTTTGTCAGTATATTTGAAAACTCCATATAATCTTGGCAAACCCCAAATTGCCAACAATTAACTCTGTTACAGCACTTCAACCTAAAAATGTATTACTTTAATTTTTTTACTTGACATATTTTCTTAGGTATTTAGATTTGAATATTACTGTTACTTAGGTACACATTCATAAATATTTTATCTTGGAATTTTTGTCTCCCTCACAGGAGGACTCATATAAAATTAACTATGGGCTTAGGTAAATATTCATGTTAAACAAAATATGTTATTTTGTAAATTTCTATTGAGTGACCCAAATAATTTTAGCTATGAATACACTAAACACTAAACACATACTTACACCATTGAAAAATGTCTTTTCTCTTGAATCTACAAGGCAAGTTACTGGGAAGTTTTGCAACATTCCAGAGAGCTGTATACACCATGATTTCATTTGAATGTGGATTTTTGTTTCTCCAGATTATTACCATCAAGAGTCAAGTGTATTACAATAAAAAAAAAGATTTGGACAGTATTTGTGTTTCTCACATTAATACACATGGACATAAAAAGATAGATGTGCATTATGCACATAGGTATATAATTTTGTAAGACTTTGTGAGTCAAACTTTATTTTAATGTCCAAATTTTGCTGGAAGCCCAATAAGCCCAATATTGGTTTTGATATCAGAGCACTGACAGAGATCAAAGTTGCTAGTATTCTAGCTTCTCAGCCATAGACCCTACTCCCCATTTTTAGGGCACATTCTTTACATCGAGTACAATGATGAAATTTCTTACAATCTAAGGTTTACTCCACACTATATTTTGGATCCGTATAGTGCTGTTCAAGATGGTAAAAACTTTAAGAGATGGTGCCTAGTGGGAAGTCCTTAGGTCACTAATGAAGTGCTCTTGAAGAAGACTTTGTGACCCCAGCCCCTTCCTCTTCCTCTCTTTCCTTTCTGCTCACGAGGTGATCGATCCATCAACTTTGCCAGCAAGGTGAGTAACTTGGATCCATCACGCATCCCTGCCACGATGTTTTTCCTCACCACAGACCCAAAACAGTGGGACTAATGGATCATGAGCCATGAGCCAAAATAAGCTTTTTATCTCTGTAAGTTGATGATCCCATGTATTTTGTCACAGTGACAGAAAGCTGGCTAGCACAGCCTGTCATGTCCTCTGATTTCTGATACGAATTATAGTGAAATGAAAAGAAGAAACACAAATACAAAGCAGGTTCTCGAGATTGCAAACCAAAGCCAAGAATTTATAGAAAGTCAGAGAAAGAAGCTTTCTAATAGAGTAAAAGTCTGACCCCACCCATAATATAATCCAAAAAATGTAGATGAATGCTTTGAAGACTGGAATCCATTCAGTCATTAAAAACCCTGACAATTAACCATTGAGAATTGATTATCTCAGTTGTTTTAAAGACGGGCTGCATTGCCATTTCACATTTTAAATTATTTTACAGAAAGGTAGTATAAAGCATTGACTAGTGATTTGTTTTTGCTTTTTCTTTTGAGTCATGACCATGGAATGCTACCAGTGAGAACAATATTTTTTAGACAAAGTTTGACTGATGAGCAAGATAAGAATAAATAATCCTCTATCAACGTTTTTGTTTTGTCCCTAAGTAAGCCCCATAATGTTTTACATTTTAGGATTTTTTTTTTTAAGCCCAGTACTTTTCATCAGTCTAAAGGATATATGCAGGGGCTATCTGACTGGGAATGACAGATTATATGTGAAGTGTAGAAAAAATGCTTCAGTATATCTTCACATCATCACTCTGACAGGCATCTACCTCCTGCAGGATGGCCACTGAATAGCAAATATAAATGCAAACATTGTCAGTTGGGACAGTGAGTTAGGGCAAGTTATGTTGATCATTTAACCAGATAGGGTCATTGGATTCAGAGCTAGGAAAAAGCCCAACTATTTTAGGCAAAGCAGACTTGCTACCCCTGCCTGGGACTTCAAATTATAAAGAACACAATGGCAAGATGTTCACGAAAAGAAAGTCTGTCAATGTTCGATATTTAAATAAATATTGGTATTATTTGCTCCTCAAGATAACTGATACATGACTAGCCAAATAGAGAGGGTCAAAAATAACATTGCTGAAGTTATTTCCCAAAGCAAAAAAGGGATGTCTGATTTAAGTGATTAGAACTCATTAGTCCAGCTATTCATTTTATTATCAGTATTTGATAAACATCTGCTATTGTATATGCCAAGACTTGGGTAAAGAATTAAGGAAAAAAGAATGACTAAAACACAAATGTGAAGAAGTTTCATATTTCCTGCTTTGTGGAATGACAATTGCTTGTTAAAGACAAATGTTAAGCAAATGGCTCAAGAGTTTAATTATCTGCTATCTGATAATTATCTGTTATCTGACATGACAGAGTAACTCATGGAACAAAACCCTGGGAATCAATGAATCACCTTCCGCAGGGAAATATTGGAATGATGTCTGGAAATCAGTAAAGATTTTTGTCAGGACAAATAATATACATCAATGCCTTAACCACAAATGTAAAAAAATATCGAATATATGCAAATACCTCAGTGAAAGTCATCCATGCATACAATTAACATCCATAAGTAATAATAAATTCCACTTCATTTTTTAAAAGAAAAAGAAATAGAAGTGGAAAGGTGACTGAGGTGGGTGTGGTTAGCCTCAGGACCAAGATCCCAATCTCTAAGGCTGAGTCCAGCTAAGTTTCCTCCTATCAAATTGCATTGCATCTTCCAATCTACTTAGGGAAACAATGAGAAATGTTCTAGTAGACTGCAACATTTTGACAGACGTTTTGGGAATTCTCAGTTTTGTTCTCTGTAGATTCACTTTATGCAAGTGTGTGTATCACAGTGATTGAATTGAATGAATTATCTAATCAGTTCAATTAACTAAATCCTTTAACTGAACTTCTGCATGATTTTGCATTACATAAATCTATCCTGTTAAAGTAACAACAACAACAACAAAACTCAAAACATCCAAGAAAAATCACAGGTCATAAGGAATTTGACCTCTGAAAACACATTTTAACAGGCTTAAATATGTGTGAGAGCTATTTTTTTTTCTCTTGACAAGAACAAAGACAGATTTACCCAGAGATTTATTGGCACCTTTTTTTTTCCATGTGGCAAAATTAGTTTGAGTCTAACCTTAGAAATTTACAAAGAAAAAAACAAGGAAAGAGGAAAAAGAAAGAAGAAAGAGGAAAGGAAATCTTCCAACTTAATCTATCATTAACAGAATAGTGCATTTAAAAAAAACAGTATACTATACTAAAGAATTAAAGATTTATGTAAATGATGGATAATTTAGAGAACTTCCATTAAAAGAGGTTGGGCCTACTCTAAAATATGAAAAAATTTAAATTTTAAAATCCAAAATCTTAAAAACAAAATTTATATGTGTGCTTTTCACCTCTACAACAGTATAAATGGTAGGCTTAGTTTAATTTTTAAAAATTTTTTAGAAGTTAGTTTTTTAGAATTTTAAAAATTTTTATTAGGACATGTTCACATACACAATGATTACATTCATCCTGAGGAGCTGGTTCATGCTCATAACTCATCTTAATCACTTTTATTTCCCTTTCCCTTCCACCCCTTCCCTCCATATGTCAGTTTCTTAGACATATTCAGTTATAGTGAATTAAGACTACAAAGTGAGTTAAAATTAAGCAAGGTTCTAGTTTTCCTGCTTCTGGAACAGATATTTGAATGCACTTTATGATTTTTTTGCTTTGCTAAAATATTACTGCAAACTCTTGCTGAAATAATCATGCATACAGAGTGAGCAAAACCAGGTAGATAAACATCTCACACTATTTATCCTTAGTGAAACTATATTTTTTCCCTAATGGACTATAATGATGCCAACAATATTTAATTAGAGTGTTTAGGATATTTCTGGGTCAAATAGGGTTTATTTCAACTTCTGGATGAATTATCTAAAATATTCTTCCAGAAAGACACTATATGTCCTCTGAAAAGGAGGCACAGAAAAATGGAATCCTTGGGAAAGATTAGTAAAAGGAGGAACCTCAGGACACTTTTGTGTCCTCTGAAACAACCAGCCTCAGATATTCTACAGCCCAGTCATAGGACGGAGTCCCACCTCACCTGACACTCCAACTCACCTTGATTGTGTTGCCTGGCAACTTAGAAGCCCGGTGCTCCCCGTAATTGAGATTTGGAATTGGTCCTGCTAAAGGTACTGGAAATGTCTGCAGTAACCCATCAAATTGGCTTCTGTCCCAGGTTTCAGAAACCTACCAGGTTCCTTGTTCCAAATGGGGATTCAGAACTTACCCCAACAGGTATGTGCTGGAGCATCACAAAGCCTCTGCCTGTACACTGAGTTGTCCCCTTCTTTACTCCGTCACTATGCCTAGTTTTTCCTCATTCTTAACAGTTCTCTTAGGACTATGACACTAAACCCACTGGCTCCTAGAGTTTCTCAGGAAATGGGATGTTCCATTGTACTGATACCTTACTTCAGGCACCAGGTTGAGTCCATGTTTTCTGCATCCCTTTGGACATTTTGATGGGAATTCCTTCCATCTGTGAGGACAACTTTTCTTCAGTCTTATTGAAAAATATATTCTAGCTCTTTCTTACCACCCCTTCTTTTTGTTGAGACTTCTTGGGCTACAACCATGAGAAACTCAAAGCACAGGAATTTCTGTCACAACCCAGAAGTTGTAATCTTGTTGATTACAACCTCACTGGTAAGATTGGGTGAAGGGTAGTGCCCTGTGTGGATTGAGAGTTGAGAGCAGGGTAGACCAGTAAGGAGGGCGGATATATTGTGGAGTGAGTAAGTAAATGTCAGATGAATGGTCAGAAGAATACGGAAAGAGTTGAGCCACCAATGACCAATAGCTACGACAGAAGTCCCATGGAAACCAGAACCCAGCACCACATATTCAACACGTGCCTGCCTTTTGAAGAAATGCATTAGAGATCACTCAGGAAACATGTTTATCACTTATGTAAACATCACTGGAATATCTAATAAGTTTAATTTTTTATTTTTATACTCATGCCTACTGTACATGCTGAACTATTCTATACAAAACAAAGGTGCTAAAGCTAAAATGTATTGAATGCTCACCGGTTGTATTATTTTAATCCACATGAATCCCCCTGATCCTGGCATTATTCTCATTTGTTTCATGAATCAAAAAAATGTAGATCTGCTTAGACTAATATCTTGGTAAAGGATATATGTAATAACCAACCGAGATCTATCTTTCTTTCTGTTTTTTTTCTTTCTTTCTTTCTTTTGTTTTTTCTTTCTTTTTATGCTGAGAATTTAATTCAGGGCCTTTGCACTGAGCTACATCTCCAGCCCTTTTTAAATTTTATTTTATTTATTTATTAATTAATTGTATTGGTATATTTTAGGTATGCAGTATGCTGGCGTTCATTATTGGGAATTTGTACCTTTGCATAATATATCTTGGTTCTTATTTTTTCCCTACTCCCCTGCCCTCTCTGTTCAACCCCTCCAACCCCTCCCTATTTTTTATTTTATTTTTGTGTTTGAGGTTTTTTTTTTTTTTTTTTGGTACTGGTGATTGAACTCGGGTCCTTGAGCTTGCTCAGCAGGCGGCGAAACCACTGAGTTAAATCCCCAGCCCTTTTATTTTATTTTTGAAATAGGCTCATGCTAAATTGCTCCATTGCACAAGCCGGGTTCAAACTTGTGATCCTCCTGCCTCCTTCTTCCAGAATGCTGGGATTACCAAGTGTCCCCTGTGTCAGGCCTCCTTTAAGATGGTTGCCAGTGACTTCTAGTATTACTTTCTTAAGCAGTCATCTTTTGATTGAGCACTAGAACTAGTGATTTGGCTGTAACAGATACAGATATATGAGAGAAGTGATAGCATTCCATGTCCAATATTGGGTTATAAAAAGACTGCAGCTTCCATCTTTAATTTTCTGTCTCTCTCCCATAACTCACTCAC